GTGTATCCCTTCTGGCCTGACGGGGGTCCAGGCAGCCTCAGGACCACTTGTGTGTGCCCCAGCCTTTCTGCCCACACCTTGGAGGCCTCTCCCCTCTTGGACCCTCGCCCCTGCTTGTCACGTGCCTCCCCGAGCCCCAGGATGGCCTGGACTCAGTCCTTGACCTCAGCGAAACTCCTTTCCCAGTAGGCCCCCAGCTTCCACGGAATCCAGCTGATGCAAACAGCTGAGGAGCGTCACCCTGGCTGCACCTCCGTGGTGTCCTCGTCTCCCCTGCCCCCAGCAGGAAAGGGTGCTCTCAGCTCAGCAGGGCTGGCCCAAACCTCTGACCCAGTCACACCGCCCTGTCCCTCCTCCCTGGAGACTCCCAGGATGTGGGAGAAAGATCTCGAACTTGCCCCAGACTGCCCTGACTTACCTGCTGGGCCAGTGTGACCTTGGGTAGTCCTGTGACCCTGGGCAGTTCTTAAGCATTTGTTCATCTGTCATGTGGTGGGGAGGTACTCCTGGGCTATTTCTAGGAAGGCCTGCAGTGCTGGCCCTGTCATTCCTGCTCCAACCTTGCTCTCAGTCTGCCCATGGCTCCCCTTTGCCCTCTACATAAAACCTGCCTGTGGTCCCAGCAACTTGGGCTAAGGTGGAAAGATGACTTGAGCCCAGGAGTCCATGGCTACAGTGAGTTAGGGTGGTACCACTGCACTCCAGCCTGGGTGACAGAGCAAGAGCCTGTCTCAAAAAACAAAAAACAAAACAAAACAAAACAAATGCTCTTCATGCCCTGCAGACCCAGTGTGGCCCAGGCCCTGTCCATCTCCCATTTCCTCTCCACTGCACTCACTCCCTATTCCCCCACCCCAGGGCCTTTGCACAAGCCCCCACGTGACAAGCAATGCCCTCTGCCTAGAAGTGCACTTCCCTTGGCCCTCCCCGTGGCTGGCTCCTCCTAGCACGTGAGGTTTCAGCTCACATTGCCTCCTCCAGGAGAGACCCCCATCTCATCACCCCATGTGCTCTGGCTCTGACGCTGGGCCCCATCTGAGGTCACCTCGTTTGTGAACTTTCCTGTTTGTCTTGCCCCCACCATCGGCTGACTCTCTGCAGGCAGGCCCCTGTCCCCCCTTGCTGCGCCTTCAGCTTCCCATCAATGTTTTTGAACGTTCACCTGAATAAACTGACAAGCACTCGAGGTCCCTGCCAGGTGGCCCCAGTGTCCTCCCCTGGGCCTGGGCCAAGCTGCAGGCGTCTTCAGGAAGGGGTGGTTCTGCCTTATCAGTCCCTCCCACCTTAGCCCAAGGAAGTAGGTGTCTTCAGTAGATGCAGCTAGCATGTTTGGACAGCCTCAGGTTGGGTGGGGGCCCCTCACCAAAGATCTCACATTTCCCTGGGGTTGATGGCCTGGCTTTCCATCCCCCTCAGCCACTTCAGGCATATCACCTCCTCTCTGTGAACCTCGACCTTCTCATCTGAACTCAGGCTAGGTCTGGCACCCTGGAGGGCTACAGCCCCTAGCAAGGCCCAGTTCAGGGGATGTCCGGCGCATAACTCCCGCCAGCCCCATCCCCGTCCCCTTCCCTTTTCTGTCGCCCAGGCTGGAGTGCAGTGGCACGATCTCGGCTCACTGCAACCTCCGCCTTCCAGGTTCAAGCTATCCTCCTGCCTCAGGCTCCTGAGGAGTTGGGACTACAGGCATGTGCCACATGCCCAGCTAATTTTTGTATTTTTAGTAGAGACGGGATTTTGCCATGTCGACCAGGCTGGTCTCCAACTCCTGACGTCAGGTGATCCACCCTCCTGAGCCTCTCAGAGTGCTGGGACTACAGGCATGAGCCACTGCACCTGGCCTTCTCTTTTTTTTTTGAGACGGAGTCTCGCTCTGTTGCCCAGGCTGGAATGCAGTGGCACGATCTCGGCTCACTGCAAGCTCCGCCTCCTGGGTTCACGCCATTCTCCTGCCTCAGCCTCCTGAGTAGCTGGGACTACAGGCGCCTACCACCACGCCCGGCTAATTTTTTTGTATTTTTTGTAGAGACAGGGTTTCATCGTGTTAGCCAGGATGATCGCGACTTCCTGATCTCGTGATCCACCCGCCTCGGCCTCCCCAGAGTGCTAGGATTACAGATGTGAGCCACCGCGCCTGGCCCCGGCCTTCTCTTAAGTAGCCTTTGCTGCCCTCCTTGATGACATTGAGACCTGGGCTGAGGGGGAGCCTGCTGCAAGGATGGTGCAAGTGTGTTCAGGCCAAGCCTCTGCTGCTGTGGGCCCTTGGTGAAGTGGCCTGACTTCTCTGAGCCTTGGGAGGTGAATGAGGCCACTCTGACCCCAGCAAGGCTTGGTTGTTGTCACTGCTGTGTTCAGGATGTCTCCCTCCAGCCCGGGATGGGCTTGGGTTCCTGGGAAAGGAACACAGATTTTTTTCTATTGTGAACATACATCTCGCAAAGGCTGGACTAAACCCCATTTTCCAGATAGGAAATAGACTCATGGGCATTTGAGGGACTGTGGTGCGATGAGACCACAGCTTGGCCTGCCTCCAGGCCCCTCATCTTTTTCCAAAGTTGTTAACCTGACGTTGGGCAAAAGGCCTTCTGGCCTCAGGTGATTAGGCCTGGACGCTGTGCCAGGGCCTGGCTCACAGCTGATTCCTGGGATCCTCAAGAGGTACAGGAGACTGGAGGGTGAAGAGGCAGTATCCTGTCCAGTGGCTAGCCAAAGCAGAAGAGCCGAGATCCTGGGCACCCTAGCTGGGCTCACATGAGTGCCTATGGTGGGGGTGTCCATTGCTACTGCCAGGGTGCTTTGCCTGCTATTGCTGGAAGGTGGTAGGGAGGTTGGCTGGCGCCAGCCTGCTAAAGAACGAGCAGAAGCTAGAGAGGCAGCTCCAGGCTGGGCCAGAGCCTGACCTTTGCCTTAGTTGGCGCTGTCCCTGGAAGTACTGTGGGACCTTCCAGGAGCTTTGTTACCTACCCCTCCCAGGGCCTGGCAGGTGGGCACTGGGAGTGGGGCCTCCTCGGCATAGATATCTTGCTCTTGGTGTGGCAAGCCACGCCCATAGTTAGTCTATGTCCATGAAGCGCTATTTACAGAGAGGGAAACAGGCCCAGAGAAGAACAATATATCATCATCACCAGACTTCTATGAGTGCTTACCGTGGACTAAGCCATTGTAAGCATTTCACTTCCATTTTATCAATGCTCACATCAGCCCTAGGAGATAGCTGGGAAACTGAAGTGGGGAGCTTGTGTTATTTGCTGAAGGTTCTGTGGCTCTTACTGGCCATTGCTTATGTTAAAAAGAGCAGGGATTCAAACCCAGCCCTGGGTCCTTCCACCAAGGAATATTCTCCACCATAGGCTCAGTTTTCTCATCTGCAAAGTGGGCACTGTTACGTCCACTTGGAAGTGAGGTGGGGAGATGGTACCGGAGAAAGCCCAGCAGGGACCTGGCACCCAGTTGATGTTTAACTGACCTCAGCTTCCTCCTCTTCTCTGGAGAGCACAATGGAGGCCAGGTCCTGGAAGTTGCCGGGTAGTAAACCATAGGTGGCAGGTATGGGAGGGGAGGTCCAGGTAGGCATATTGTGAGAATATCAGGAGTTTGATGATGGCCTTGGGCTAGTGAATTCCAGTCACATCCTCCCCATTTGAAACTTGTGTATCACGCACTTAGCAGGGGCTTGCGCAGCCCTGAAATATGAGCCCTTTCTAAGGTTGGTTTCAGCCTTGCTCCCTCCCAGGATTCCCTGGTTCTGAACTTGATCTCCACCAACCCTGGCCAGCACCTAGAGGAAACAAGAGCTGGTATCTGGAAACATTTGTAGCCTTCTTCGTCTTGAAAATGAAGGGTGAGTCAGAGAACAGAGTGGCCTCAGGGCAGGTGCCGATGACACAGCCATGCCTGAGATGGCAGGTGTCTCCCTAAACTGCTGGCATTTTTCTGCAAAGCAGCGCCATTAACCACACTTCACAGAGGAGCTGAGGCTCACAGGCCGCACATGACCTGCTGAGGGTCAAATGCTTTCACCAGATAATTAAAACGAGAGCTGGGTTATAAATTTTCCCAGGGAAGCAACCCCAGAGAGGAAAGATCAAGGCATAGGAATCATTTTCCCCCTTCTTTTCCAAATGAAACAGCTGAGGCTCACAAGGCCTTTGCCCAAGGTTGTGTGGTGGGCCAGTGATTCGACAAGAATTCAAACCTAGGTCTCTTGAGGCCCCCAGTGGCTCTTCTCTGACACTCCCTTTCCAAAAAGCAGGCTGCTGTAGATTCATTGTCTGGTTTAGCAACCAATGTGCTGTGTAACCTTGGGCAAAGAGCTTGACCTCTCTGTGCTCTGGTTTCTGTAAAAGGGGTCAGTGGTCGCTTTGACCTTGTGGGATTGTGGTTAAGATTCAGTTAATTCATAAAAGGCTTAGCAGGGAGGAGGCCCAACAGGGATGTCACTGGATAACATGGCAGGTAACCTGGGACACAGGTCAGACACACAGAAAACCACACAGCGCGTTTCAGTAGGATTCTGCTCCTTATTTCCATGTCTTCACACCACCTCGAGATGCAGAGGGCAGCTCAGAGTGACCTCCAGCGAATCTGCCCTCTCTGTGTCGTCTGCAGGGGATTAGTGGGGAGTAAGGGGATGGAGAATTATCCAGGAGTCCTTCAGATTTGATGGTCCAAGTTCACAGCCGCTTCTGCGCTGGGTGGCCAGAGGGCAGGCTCTACACGAGAGCCTCAGGGGACCCTGCGCCAGGCGCCGGAGGCCACCTCGGGTTGCCGCGCTCTGGGTCAGACTGCACCTTGAACGCTCCAGCCTTCCCTGGGGGCGTACCGCCCACGGCCGCTGCGACTGGCCGCGGGACCTGCCAGTCTGCGGCTTTGCAGCCAATCCCCGTCTCCCCCCAGGCTACGCCCTCTGTTCCTCGCGCCTCTGTGCCACCGGTCGCGCCAGTTTCCCCGTAGCCCCGCCCTTGGTCTCCGGCGATTGGCCGACAGTTCTGCCTGTTTTCTGCCAAGATTCCTCGCCTGCCTCCAGGCCCTCGCCTCCCAGCGCCTAGCACCCTGCGGGACCACCGAGGCACCCCAGGCCTCTCCCAATGGCCCCACCTCTGCCCGTCAGCGATTGGCTTTGGGGGCTGCCCATACGCTTCATGCCCGCCAATCACTGACGTTTCTAGCGCTGACTGGCCAGGGAGCAGCCAATCGGGGCGTGGCGTGGACCCCTCCCGTGGCGCGCTCTGGGGGTGCGCGAGGCGGGGCCGTGGCGGCTGGAGGTGGCGGCGGCGGCGACGCGTCCGGGCCAGTGAGGGGGCGCGGGGGCGCCGGGGGGCGCAAGCGTCAGCGGCCCGCGCTTGTCGGGCTGAACTGAGGTAAGGCACGGGTCCTGTCATGGATCCCGGGGCGAGGGGCGGACGAGGCGGGGCGTGACAGCAGCGTCGCGAGGGCAAGAAGAGGTTAAAGACCCTCCCAACCCCACACTCCACGTCTATTGCCCTCTGGGGGCTACTGCATCCAGGTCTGAGCCCCTCACCCGCAGCCCACGCATGCCTGACACCATGTTCCTTTCCGTTGACATCCCCCATACACCTGAAACTGTCCTTGCTGACATCTCCCACGCCCCTGGGGCCTTGTCCCCGGCGCCCCGCATAGCTGGCTCTGACATCCCCCTCACACACCTGACACCGCGCCCCCACTCACGAACACCCACCCCCACTCACGAACACCCCTCACATCACCTGAGATTGTCCCTGTCGATGACACCCCCACATCCACACCTGAGCCTGTGACTCCTAACTCACGGTCCCGCAACTCACACCTGGACCTGGTCCCGTCCCCTACTGCCTTTCCTCATATCCAGGTATCTGCTCGCTACCCTTGTACCCACTCCCCCAGCAACCTGGGTCCCTCTTCTCAGGGACTTTCCCCCCGGCAACTGCCCTCTGGTCCTGGCAGCCCCACACCTCTGTCTCTCCCCTTTCTCCCCCCTCCTCCCCTCTCCCACCTTGGGCTTTCTTCCCCGTGCACCTGTGTTCGCACACCCTCTGTAATAATCCCCCCGAATCCCCCAGGTCCTCCAATAGTCCCCCAAGCCTTGGTATCTCAGGATCGCTGCACCCTCCCCTCCCCAAACAAAAGCTTACCCCAATGTTCATTTCTAACAGTGCTTGACAGTCTATAAAGTGATTTCCGGACCTTAGAATAATCCCATCGGTCAGACGAAACCGGAATCATCTCCATTTTACCAGCCACAGACCTAAACCACTTGAATGCTAGAGGCAGAGACTGTTGCATCCTGGGCATCGCTGACCCTCTGCTCTGGGGACCCACCGCGTTTGGGCCCATCTGTTATGTTTATCTCAGAGGGATTGGCAGGAGTCGTGACTTTGACTCGGTCCGGAAAGGCTTAGCTGGAAGGGACAGCCCCTCTGCCAAGCATGTGTCTCGGAGTCCTGGGGCGGGCTGGTGGTGGAGACGCTACCGGAGGGGGGGGGGGTCATCATCTTGGGTACCTCCTGCAGGATGACGGAGAGGGAGTTGCCGGGGCCTGGGGCTCCCAGCCCTTGCAGACCGGGGACCCCTCTCAGACACTCCTTGGGCCCTTGAAGCCGATAAACAGAGTAAGGAAACACTCTTTAGAGTGAGGCAAACTACTGTTTCAGCTGTTTAAAGCTAACCTGCAAAACGAGCCTGGGAGCCTGGCGTGATGCTAGGAATGATTCTTCTGGAACTTTTTAGTTCTCTTGAGTCTGATTTGCAAGCATGCAGCATAGAAGGAGGACAGTGGCTTTGTTGTTGAAAAGCAATAACGTGCCATTTCCTGTAAGGCTTGCGGAGCATTTCTTATCCCCTCCCACCTCTCCCTGCAAAGACGGTGCCAGAATGTTCCAGAGGGTCATGTCACCTTCAGCTTCTCCTGTGGAAACTGAAGCCATTTGGGTTTTCTGTCCAACTTCAATAGGGGTCATTTAAAACATATATGGATGTGTGTGTATATATGTATGTATATGTGTGTGGGTGTGTGTTGTACACAGTACCTATATGCATATGTTTATATACATATTTTATATACACATATTTCATGTGTGTTATATATGTACATGTGTATAAACTTTGACAAGATCATTGAGTGTATAGTTTTTGCGTTTTTTTTTTTTTTTTTTGAGAAAGAGTCTTCCTCTGTCGCGCAGGCTGGAGTGCAATGGCGTGATCTTGTCTCAAGGCAATCTCTGCCTCCTGGGTTCATGCAGTTCTCCTGCCTCAGCCTCCCGAGTAGCTGGGATTACAGGCATGTGCCACCACGCCCAGCTCATTTTTGCATTTTTAATAGAAACGGGGTTTCACCATATTGGCTAGGCTGGTCTTGCACTCCTGACCCCAAGTGATCCACTCGCCTCGGCCTCCCAAACTGCTAGGATTACAGGCGTGAGCCACCACGCCCGGCCTATTATATAGTTAAAAACAAAAAATCAAACAGTACAAAAGGGCATGTAGTAGAAATCAGGCAGTCTACCCCGTTCCTCCTCAGATGCACCTACTGCTGATAATTTCTTGTGTTTTCTTCCAGAGGTAGTCTATGACTGGGGTGGCAGAAAGGGGTGGGGGGAGGCATATATCCCCCAGCCCTTTTAAACCACTGGTAAATTTGCATTGAACAGATATGGGAATTCTAAGGCCACTCCCCTACTGATGGCTGTTTAAGCAGCAGCCCATATTTAGCTTTTACAAACAGAGCTGCAATGGATAGACACATGCATTATCATGTACTAAATACACAGTGAACGTATTTGGGCTCCAGCCATGCCCAGACACTTGAGACCCCCCTGTCTTGCCAGCTGTGCCTGTAGTCCACAGTTACCCAGGAGGCTGAGGTGGGAGGATTGCTTGAACTGAGGAGTTCAAGGTTGCAGTGAGCTATAATCTTGCCACTGCATTCCTCTCCAGCCTGGACGACAGAGTTAGATCCTGTCTCAAAAAAAAAAAAGGGGGGGGGGGGGCCAAGTCAAAGGGCATATTCATGTAAATAGTTAATGTCCCTCCTTCTCCTCTCAACTGTGAAGTTGGAAAGCCTGATTCCTCTCCTGCGGCCAGCTCAGTTATTATCAAGTTTTGTGGTCTGTCCCATCGATAGGTAAAAAATAGCACAAGAGAACATCACTTCCATGCTTCCTACCCCTCTCTTAGGTGTTCTGGCTTGTGGGGTAGGGATTAAACATTAGACTTGTTTCTCTGCCAGTCAGACTAAAGTTCAAGAAATATTTGGGGCTGGACGCAGTGGTTCACACTACCCAACACTTTGGGTGGATGAGGCAGGAGGATCGCTTGAGCCCAGGAGTTTGAGACCAGCTCGGGCAACATAGTGAAACCCCATCTCTATAAAACAAAAATTAAAAATTAGCCAGGCATGGTAGCATGCACAGATGGCCCCAGCTAGTTGGGAGGCTAAGGTGGGAGGACTGCTTGAACCCAGGAGTTCAATGCTGCAGTGGGCTATGATTGCGCCATTGCACTCCAGCCTGGGCAACAGAGCAAGACCCTGTTTTTCTGTTTAAAAAAAAATTTTTTTTTGAGTTCCCGCTCTGTGAAGCTTGTCACTGTAGCAGGGAGCAGTGGTGGTGCTGAGATTTTTGGCTCAAGTTACCTCAACAAGAACAATTGCTAGAACCACCATTTAAGTGTTGCTGATTTTTTTTTTCCACTTGGGTCTAGGAAAAGAAAGATGAGGGCATCATGAGAGATTGAGACGAGTCAGATGTTAAATCTGTCTGTGAAGCTGTTTCGAGACTCTCTCCAGTTGTCCAATTTCTCACCACTGGTGCCAGATGGAGGGTGTTGTCATACTGAAGTCAGGCCTCTGCCCACGTGTCATACAGTTTTTTTTGTCTGTCTCTTCTATTTTGGCAGTTAGACATTAAGAGGGGATTATTGAGATGATCAGAATCATTCACTTGTTTGGGTTTTGCAAGACAGGGCTTTTAAAAATGCATTTGCATTTTTTATTTTAAACATGAAATACGTCTTCATAAAGAGTATATTGGCTGGGCCGGGCGCGGTGGCTCACGCCTGTAATCCCAGCACTTTGGGAGGCCGAGGCGGGCGGATCACAAGGTCAGGAGATCGAGACCATGGTGAAACCCCGTCTCTACTAAAAAATAGAAAAAAAAAAAAAAAAATTAGCCGGGCGTAGTGGCGGGCGCCTGTAGTCCCGGCTACTCGGGAGGCTGAGGCAGGAGAATGGCGTGAACCCGGGAGGCGGAGCTTGCAGTGAGCCGAGATTGCGCCACTGCACTCCAGCCTGGGTGACAGAGCGAGACTCCGTCTCAAAAAAAAAAAAAAAAAAAAAAAAAGAGTATATTGGCTGGACGTGGTGGCTCACACTGGTAATCCCAGCACTTTGGGAGGCCGAGGCGGGTGGATCATGAGGTCAGGAGTTCAAGACCAGCATGACCAACATGGTGAAACCCTGTCTCTGCTAAAGAATACAAAAATTAGCCAGGCGTAGTGGCACGTGCCTGTAATCCAAGTTACTCAGGAGGCTGAGGCAGGAGAATTGCTTCAACCCAGGAGGTGGAGGTTGCAGTGAGCCAAGATCATGCCATTGCACTCTAGCCTGGGCAACAGAGCGAGACTGTCTCAAAAAAAAAAAAGTATATTATGTCGGGCCAGGCATGGTGGCTCACGCCTTTCATCCTAGCACTTTGGGAGGCCGAGGCACGCAGATCACTTGAGGTCAGGAGTTCGAGATCAGCCTGGCCAACATGGCGAAACCCCGTCTCTACTAAAAATAAAAAATTAGCCTGGCATGTTGGTGGGCGCCTGTATTCCCAGCTACTCTGGAGACTGAGGCAGGGAGAATTGCTTAAACCCAGGAGGCAGAGGTTGCAGTGAGCCAAGATCGTGCCACTGCACTCCAGCCTGGGCGACAGGGCAAGACTCCATCTCAAGAAAAAAATAAAAACAAAAATAGCCAGGTGTGGTGGTGCATGCCCGTAGTCCCAGCTACTCAGGAGACTGAGGCAGGAGAATTGCTTGAACTCTGGAGGCGGAGGTTGCAGTGAGCTGAGATGGCACCACTGCACTCCAGCCTGGGTGACAGAGCGAGACTCAGTCTCACATAAATAAATACATAAATTAGCTGGCCTTGGTGGCATGCGCCTATAGTCCTAGCTACTTGGGAGGCTGAGGTGGGAGGATCACTTGAGCCCAGGGGATTGAGGCTGCAGTGAGTCATGATTGTGCCACTGCACTCCAGCCCGGGTGACAGTGAGGCTCTGTCTCAAAAAAAAAAAAAAGAAGTATATAACGTGTATGTGAAAAGAAAGAAGATTTAACCAATAATGAAATTAGCATTCAGCTCAGGAAGTAGAACGTT